AATCACATCGTTGTTGTCATTGCAAATATGACTGATATTCTTTTAGGATTTATGTCATATACATTAACCATTTTCACCAATTTTTAAATATATCCTTGTTAATACGTCTGTGTCAAAGGTCGTTCATCTCGTCATTGGAATAGATATTGGCATTTTCGGATAAAGGAAATCAAGTTTGTACAATTAATTTTTCTTATGGCCTCTGCGATGATTTTTCCATTCTTTGAAATAACACCTTCATGATTTTTGAAACAACACCTGTACCATTTTTAAAACTGAATTATTCCATTTCTGATTTCCTCACAAAGAGAAGATTCAACTGGAGGCCAGGAACATATAATATTTTTGGTTATTCATCGATCTAGGCTTACCATGAAAGTAGATTTCAACGTTTACATTTCCACTTTTCCTGCTAGTAAAGTTTGACTATTTTTGGCACTTTCTATTTGAATTGGTTTCAACACTTTTACGTTGATAAGAGATTTTTCTTCACCATATGTTCTGAGCTTCGTGAATCCAGTTGTCAACTAGAAATATCACTGTTTGTTGCAGGAAAAAAATATCATCCTCTTCATCACCTGGCTCTACCTAAGATCCTAAATGTGCTGATATTGATCTAGAATTTTTAACGAATTTTGTTTTCTACATTCGTTTCTCTTGACGGTGAGTCGACAATGATAACATTTGAATTTGCACAACTTTTCTTTGTTACTCGATTGCTTTCTTTGATTTGCAGACATGTTATGATTCTTCATCTAATAATCTATTGTCGATGAAGTTCAAATCAAGTTTATTAGTAGTAGAAGTTTCTAAGGCTGTACTATTGCATAATCTTTGGCATGGTAAGAAATGTCATAGTACATCTGTATGTTGAAAAGTTTCTCAAGATGAGCGATATTTTCGAAGAAATGCATTGGATTTAAAAAAATGTTTATTAGTTAATAGACTTTTTCTTAAGAGTTGACTAGGTGAGCCTTTCTTTCTGAAGATGTCTGAAATTCCAGATATCAACAGCGGTTTCTTTGTGTTTAGGGAACTTTAAGTGACTGCTATTCTTTGTATAATTTGAGATTGAATTTCTTATCTTTCTTCTGGGGGCTAGAAAGGTTCTTCTCTTCTTTGGTTCGACTAATTTCAGTTAACAATAACCATACTCTTGTAAGATTGTTTTATGAAACATCAAATCAAGTTCTTCCAACTGTAATTGAATAAATGAAAAAATATTAAAACTACCAGGACCAAAATATTCGGCTGAAATAATTTGTAGTTTACATGGTAAATTATTGATTTTTCTTTCTCGTCGCCAACTGTGTCTGTGATTACCAAACAGAAAATACTTTTCGGGTTTAACTAGAACACCATATTGAATCAGAATCTAAGCACTTGTTAAAATGTTTCCACAGCTAACAAACTGCTATGCAGAGTAATCTTCAGAGGTATTTGTGAGACTTTGTGAACTAAGGAAAGGCTAAGTTCTTACGTTTCAACATGCAATCCCAAGTATGAGAATATATGAATATATAAAGCACATTGCATATAAAAATTGAATTAACAAACATAAAACATTTTCATTGTAGGTTGCCACCAATGGATCCCCTGATGCTATATGCTATTTCACTTCATAAGTATGCTAACGATATGAGAAAAATGACTGAACTAGCCACGGAAATGAATATCATTCCATCTGAAGATGCAGCACCACCAATGCCGATTATGCCTGAATTTGAGTTGAAACATAAAAGAAATAACTTGAATTACATACCGAAAGATTTTACGTGAGTATTTCTAGGATCTTGGAATAATCAAACAATATATTACACCAACTTTTCAGTTCCTTCAGTTGTGGTTCTGAAATTGATATACCTGAATTGAGTGAGGCTGTTGTGAAAGAAATTTTACCAAAATGCATAGTGACTATGTTTGCGCATATTGGATTTGAGAGTAAGTAATGTTTCAAGAAATGTTGGTGATATAGTTCAGTTCATGTATATTTGCAAGGTTAAACGTATTTACTTTTTCTCATAGTAGAACTATTTGAAAATTCTACTCTCAACACATCATTCTCAATCTGGACTATTATTTTAAGCCATGTGAACTCATATGCAGGCGGGCGAACTTCTCCTTGTTCTCTAAATGATAATCATTGAGTTTATTACTTTTTGACTGGGTATTGGTCAATCTTCGAAATCTGCCAATACAGAAATTATAAACATGAATGGACTTAAACAAACTATTTTTCATGGCGATTATAATATATCAAATTGAAAATATATGTTACATCGTTGTTGTCATTGCAAATATGAAAATCTTGGTTGGTATATTTTTGATATATGTAGTTAATCATTACCATGGCAGCGAAATAATGACTGACAGCTATTTGACATGGAATCAGTTGAAATTTTTATTTTTGAAAGTTTGTAATGGTTTTTGTTCACAATTATCTCAATAAACTATGGAAAGCAGCAGCGATAGTTAGTTTGAAGAAGTGCTTTACGAAATTTCTAATGCAGCATCTTCTGATACAGCACAATTATTGCCTGAAAAATCAAAGTCCACTATGATATGAAGAAATGCAAAACTATTACAGAGGATGTAATTTTGTCTTATTCGACACAAAAATCTGAAAGTGTCAAATTCTCTACCTTGTGGAACATGTACTTTATGTTGAAAAGTACTACTTTATGTTGAAAAGTACTACTTTAGTGACGAAAAATGTAAACATAGCCACTTTCCCAAAGATTATAGCATTTCTTTAAGGAAATGGTTATAAAGTGAAGAAATCAGTAGTTTTCAACAGCGAGCAAATCAACAAATTCACTAGGGAAGCAAATAATAATAATAATACTAATAATTTCTCATCGACTTTTTTCCTGGTTATTTGTTATCTTCCACAATCTGAAAAATATAAAAATTATAATGGAGAACTTTATACAAGTGTAGAAGGGTAAACTTTTTAGTTTACCCCGCTAAGTTACTGCGTAAAATCAAAGTATTTTTCACAAAGAAAAATGTTCTATTTATCAGTAACTTGTCGTATTTAACAATTTTGCCTATCAAAAAAATGGACAAAAAAATTCTAAGATGAGCCTCACCCTAAGAGACGTAAGCTAAAAGAATCAGCGTATATTCTCATATCTGGAGAGAATTGTATTTCGAAAAGCTCCTTAAAAATGGACCGTACTTGGCTACCCATTTTGAAGAAAAATTTGGATAGTGGCGAAATGGCAACAGACTGATATCGGAAAGCACCTTGTATTACATCGAATGTTTCAGTTATCAATCAACAACATTGACATAATTTCATATTTCAAAACTCCTCTGACATCTGTCGAAGAAGTTAAGAAATAAATAATCGACAAGAAATAACTGCAAACATCTTATAATTTTTTTGTCCATTTCTGAAGACGGAGGCATATTTTGGCCTCCGAAACGTAAATATTAGTATTGTATTATTTCTTAGCAATTTTTTTGATAGGCAAAATTGTTGAATAAGACAAGTTACTGATAAATAGAACATTTTTCTTTGTGAAAAATAATTTGATTTTTCGTATTAACTTATCAGGGTAAACTAAAAAGTTTGCCCTTCTACACTTGTATCAAGTTCTCCATTATAATTTTTATATTTTCCAGATCGTGGAAGGTAATGAATACCCAAAAAAGGTCGATGAAAAACTGATTTTCCTGCACAAAAAATGACTTTCATTGAATACTAATAATATTTCTTTATTTTATCATTTGAATGCACAAAGGTTACATGAATGATTAAAAATGTTATTATTTCAGTTACATCGTTACATTGAACAAGAACATGCCAACAATTACAAATTTACGTATACATGTATATACAGGGTGTAACTGAATAAGTGTAAAACATTTAAGGAAAAAAAGATAGGATCTTTCATATAAAGAAACTTCATTGGAGCATGGATACAGCCCCTTAAAGGGGGTACATAATTTTTTTTAGGATCTTTCATATAAAGAAACTTCATTGGAGCATGGATACAGCCCCTTAAANGTCTTTTTGGTAGTACAAAACGTCAGGTTAATTTCAATATTGTAACTTTTTTAGTGCTTGTGAAAAAAATTGTTATACAAATTTTATGTACCCCCTTTAAGGGGATGTATCTTAACAAGGGATGCTCCTATGAAATTTCTTTATATGAAAGATCCTATCTTTTTTTCGATGAGGAATCACCTCCATAAATGTTTTACACTTATTTAGTTACACCCTGTATAAGAAACATCAATAATGTAGTTTAAAAATAAAAAATTATCATCATAAAAAGAAATTGTCTATGGAATAACAACACTTATAGTCTATCCATTCCCAATTGGAACGGCAATAAAAATAAGAGTACAGTCATAAACATTTATTGCCTGTGGCCCCTAGTCGCCCAGATAGTTAGTAAACGTGCTATCAAATGTAGTTGGGGAGTAAAGGCTCGGCTAGCTGGACTGGCTGAATACTAATTTTTTGTCCGTTTCACAATATTTCTTCATCAGTGCCGTGTGTTTCGTGGGGTTAGGTGAGGTAGTGAGTGGTTTGCAAACCGATTTTTGAAAACTTTTTAGATAGATCAATTACCATAACACCAAACTGATATTTTTGCACTCGACGTGCGTTTCGCTAACAAGGTTAGCATCTTCAGGAGAAGCAAATTGATACTGAATCTAAAGACAAGGGTTAGCTGTTTATATACCTAAAGTTTTTTGGTCCGATGTGGACTTTGTTTGTTAAATGATGATTATCCTAATTGATTTTTCGGTAATTAACTACTGGAACCACTACCTGCAAATTAATTTGTCAACAATAGATTAAAAAGCGGAAAAGTTTTCAAATTTTACACTAAAGGTTCCAATCTCATCGTTTAAACCGATTTTGTGAAAATCTTAGTGTTTTTGGGTACTTTCATCAATATGGCTTTCTGGATTATTACGTGTGAGGAATCTGTGTCAATCGACAGGAATCCGTTCAGCAAGTAATTTTATATATTCATGAATGCTTGAAGAAGGAAAACTGTCACACTTCACAGAATGCTATTGTGAATAGAATATGCGAATTAACGAAACATAAACACATAAACCTGTCCGAAAGAATCTTATAATGTTACCAAAAAATAATCAGGATAATGGTAACACCATGGCAGACTTGAAAAGGGCCATCAATCCAGGTGGATTATCAGTTGGAATAAGGCAACTGCAAAACACTGCAAATGGGGGAATATTAATAAAGTGCAGCAATGATGTATCGGTTCAAAGAATCCTGAAGGAATCCACAGCAAAGCTTGGTGACGATTATGAAATAAGAAAAANCATCATATAACCTATAAGTTATTCTTATTCTAAATCGTGTAAACTTAAAAAAATTGAGTCCGAACACCGTATAGTCTCCGTTAGTGATGAATTGAGAAAAAATAAATAGAAAAACGACAGACAAAATTTTTGCCAAATGATATTTTTCCGTTATGACCATGGGTCTATCTCTGTTTATGGAATTTGCTCCTAGGACCTCAGTATACTACCCTCTATAAAAATATCTCAAAAATCTACTTCGTGAATGAAAACCCTCAGAAGTCGACGCTTGTGCGAGCTAAAGATCAACTGGGTCTAACCCGTTAACGTGAGATTACTAGCACGGGCCAGACGATACGCAGTGAAAATCTAAAATCCCAAAGTTTGAACCTAACTCTACCTCACCAATCGGCTACCGACCATTTTAGGTTACATGAGTGGAGAATAATAATGCTATTTTATTTTTTAGAAGTTGTTTTTTATTGGAATTGGGAAAGACACATTCAAAAATGTCCCCTACAGGACTCTACAAAGGCACTTTTTATTTCATAATACTGACTGTTCTGGACCCTTTAGAATTATTCAATTATCAAATCTGAAATGAATACCAATACAAATGTTATTTCTCATCGAAATTCATTTTGAAAATATATCATATAAACGGTGTTTCAAATTCGATCCTCACCATTGGGATCTCGGAAACTATGAGAGATACGAAAATGGTTAAATTGGGGCAAAGTTGTGCATTTACCTGACTGATAATATGCCGTTGAGAAAGTTCTGAAATTTCGAGTATATCCGGAAATATCCGGAAACAATAGAAATTTCGAAAAATGATTTTTATTTTTTTCTGGCCTTATTTTTCGAAGGATTCGAAAAAGAACTACATCAACAATGCCACTTTTTCCCTGCTACATAATGGTGATTTCAGATTTATTTTATTTTTTCCTCGGCTTTTCAAATTAATCAATCTCAATGAGATTTTGATCCAATAACTTGAACATAGTTCGATGTGACTGTCGTCTTTCGGGATACAAGTTTAAATACATTTTCGTTGTCCTAAAACTGTTTCTATCGTATTTCTAATAAATTTGTATCATATCTGTATCTGTATAGTCTATCCATTCCCAATTGGAACTGCAATGAAAATAAGAGTAGGTACAGTCATAAACATTTCTTGCATGTGGCCCCTAGTCGCCCAGATAGTTAGTAAACGTGCTATTAAATGTAGTTGAGAAATAAAGGCTCGGCTAGCTGGACTGACTGAATACTAATTTTTTGTCCGTTTCACAATATTTCTTTATCAGTGCGTGTGTTCGTGAGGTTAGGTGAGGTAGTGAGTGGTTTTGCAAACCAATTTTTGAAAACTTTTTCTAGAGATCAATTACCCTAACACCAAACTGATATTTTTGCACTCGACGCGCGTTTCGCTAACAAGGTTAGCATCTTCAGGAAAAGCAAATTGATACTGAATCTAAAGACAAGGGTTAGCTGTTTATATACCTAAAGTTTTTTGGTCCGATGTGGACTTTGTTTGTTAAATGATGATCATCCCAATTGATTTTTCGGCAATTAACTAGTGGAACCACTAACTGCAAATTAATTTTTAGATTCAGTATCAATTTGCTTCTCCTGAAGATGATAACCTTGTTAGCGAAACGCGCGTCGAGTTCAAAA